ATTCTTGATTTGCCCGTTCCTGGTCTTCATGGGAAAGAAATAAGAAAGAGATTATTCCCCTGGAGCTTGTCCACTAGTATATTATAAGAATTGTCCTCCCTTGTCATTTTACTTCTTACGCGGGGTTTATGGACAAAAGTTAGCCCGGATTACTAAAGAACTTTGTTGCGGGAAAAGGAGGGATTTGCTGAGTTCAAAAGCAAGAGTACTTCAGTGAAAAAGCAAAAAATTCATTCCCAGTTTGGCTACGGGTACACATGGGATTAGGCTAACAAGTATCTTTGTTTGACCCTGGATTGGGGTTAAAGTTCCTATGTTTAATGGAGGGAGAACGCCTGGACTTGAACTAGAGACCTCGCCCGTGAAGTAAATCATTGCCCTACGATCCAACCAATTGGGAGTAGTCGTTATACCAGGTTTACGGTTGATGAATACGAATCATACCCAACGAGTTAAAATAGATTTTTTCCTTTGTGAATCAGGGCAGTATTGACAGTTGCATTTGTTAACATGGCATCCACATGGTAGCCCAGTCATAATTTCTCTTTTAAACAAATAGAGTGGGGCCTACAAACCATCCTCCCACCTCTCTCCCTCCTTCCTTCTCTATCCCACTACACCCCCCCGCCCCCCACTCTTCAAGTCCTCTTAGTGGCAGCAAGGCGGTGGACTTTTTCCTTTGGAGGTAAAGATGGGAACTTGGTTCAACCTTTTGGGTTGGGCATTAGGGGTGTATCTTCACGTACAGGGTTTCGATCGGCATCGACGCAATCATCTTCACCCTCACCACCCGATACGATGTGGCTCCAGGTGTTTTCAGGCTTCGGCACATCGCCGTTGGAGGCCACTGGTTTTGCACTCTATGCGCCCTCGGTCAAGGACACCAGCACCATGGGTAACATGCGTAGAATAGAATGAATCAGAGTTGGACTTTGTTCTATGCTCTCTTAAATAGAGAGGCACACTAGCTTTTCTAACTGCATGACGATAGTAGCATAGTCGAGGGACGACTGGATGCCGGCCTGATCGAGGGTTCATTAACACCCTGATACACTATAGTTATATTGGATCGGGGGAGGAGTGTTCTTAATCAATGTCCTAGAAATATACGTTTCGACTTAACCTCGTTAATAAATATAGTACCTCGATGTTGTTATAATGTTTGGAATTTCTACGATGTTGTTATTCGTGCGGTGATGGAGGTGGCTTGCGTTTTTCAATCATTTGTGTTTACTAGAAAAAATGGCCATACGTTGCAACGGGTAAAACCATTTTTGAATCACATACATTATACTCTTTGGTTTGGGCTAAAAGTCCATTTCCTTACTTTTCAGCCCAGACCAGCCCAGCCACACTACCTCCTTCCTTTTCAGTCTCACTTTGTTTTGGGCTAAAAGCCTAAAAGCTCAATTTTTTTCCTTTCTTTTCAGTCCCAGACCAGCCCGGCCGCTACCTCCTTCCTTTTTCAGTCTTAGCCCAACCCGTTACCTCCCTCTGCTTAGCCCGTCTCTCTTTGACCTAGCCTACAAGTGAAAATGTAGACCCAACTCGCATAGTTGACTGCCGTCTTCAATCTCGGAAGACGTCTCGTGCCCGTAAAATGCTAGAATCGATCCTTCCATCAAATCTGATTGAATCTTTCTCGATCTCCCAAAATTGGTTGAGAGTTTTTATATAGTCAATATGCTCTTTCCGTTTTTATCAAAATTGGAGCGAATCTATCAAACACGGGACAAAAAGGTGACTTTTAAATACAGAATCAATCTAGTAAATAAAAGCGGAATTGAAAGTAAAAAATAAAATCATGGGAAATAGTGAGGGGTAGTGGGGAATCATTTTTGCAATCAATTGAAGGAGGCAACGTATGGGTAGAAAGATTGTTGTGGCCGCACGGGTGCTAGTGTTTCGTCCGGCAAAAAAAACCATCAAAAATGAATCCTTACCCACGTGTAAAAAAACAATGTAGAGTGATGGAAAAAAAAGAAGTAAGGCCAAAAAAAGAAAACGAAAAAAAAACAGAAAAAACGAAAAAACCACGGACAGAAAAAGGGCGGATGGAGAAAATTAAGGCGAAGAAAAAAAAGCGAGGGGAACAGAAAAAGGAAAAAGCGGCGAAAAAAACAAGAGGCGAAAAAAAGAGAAAAGTGGCGAAGAAAAAGAGACGACCAAAATAATTACGGGATACGGAAAGCTTAAGCATTTTTTTAATTAAGTATAGAATTATTTATTTTTTGAAAAAGTTTGCACTTGGGCATTCTAACCTGTCTGTTTGCATAAATAGATTTTCGGATGCGGTCTCAGATACGCATGCGAACATGGATTTTCACGTGAGAGTGCGCTATCCGATTAGGAAAATGCTAATTTTTACAAACACATAGGAGGGGCGGGCCACTTAGCCGTTTGCGAAAATATGTTTTAGTTGTTTGCAAAAATCATTTGTATAGTAGTAATTGATTTTAGGGTAATTTGTTTTCAGGGAGAGGCATTCAACTTGCTCATGGCGTGTGCAAACACCCCAGTAAAGTCGATAGGTGATGCATATTTTATAGATTGTTTTCTTTTGTGCTAAAATTTTGTGAGCAAGCTGGGGGTGTTAGGGCATGTACAATGGTGTCTAATGACGGGCTCTCTTCGTTATCATGCAAGTAATTTTGGTAAAGTGGAAGAAAGAGAGGGAATTAATGAGAAACATCGTTGCTATGCATGACAACGGCTTAGAGTAGACTCTTAGCATTTATTAACGAAAAGTTTGTTGCATGGGGTGTAGAAAAGGAAAGAAGTATAATATAAAAATATGAGTGAATTGCATCTTGGGCCTCTTTTTTTTTACTATTGTTGCAAGTTGGACTAGGGGTAAACAAATAATTTCACTTTGGACCACTTATGTTTACCCATTGCTTCACTTTGGGCTGGTTCTTCTATCTCTAGCTCTCCTTCCTATTCTCCATATCCCAAATTAACCATCACCGAACTGCACTGGCTGCCCCATTAGGAATGTGACGAACCGGCTAGCAAACGGCTTGATCGGCTGATCCTCTCCATTAGGAAGGTGATCAGCAAGCCTGCCATGTACCCAACAGCGTGGAGGTCAATTTGTCCGAGACAAATGAATGGATGGTTAGTCCGTCGGTGAATGGATGGATCAGCATCGGCATTGGCTGGAAGCGTCCACCAAGCCACACTGGCGTCACTACGCGTTTGACCATGACCTTGAGCACTGTCGCGCTGTCGTCAGTGCCGCGCTCAGCCTTGAGCCCAACTCAACTCTCGACCTTAGTCCAAATAGCTCTAGTGCCTCACTTAAGTCGAGCTCGACCGACAGCTTCATGCTACACTGCATCTTGAGCCCACCCAGCATCCAATGAGGGAATAAAGAGAGTGAGAGAGCACAAAGAGGAGAGAGGGAGCTGTAGGTCTGAGAACAGCCCCAAGGTGAAACTTTTGTAAATTTACCTAGTCCAAATACGAAAATGTAGATATACCCCTGGTCCAAGCTGAAAGAGTGGTAAAAATAGTGACCCAATATGCAGTTTACTCTAAAAATATTTAGTTCATTAATAGAGTAGTTTAGAAATCTTATTGTCTCTACCATTGTAGGAGAATAGTCTATAGTAACATTAATTAATATAGAGAGCTTATATTAGACTCTACATTTATACATGCCCTTAAGCATACAATCCATTGAGCCATCGGACGGACCCCTCTTGTGTGTGCTCGTGCTACTATTGTGCGGTTGGAAGAACGAGACGTGGATTTGATTTTCTGTTGTGGAAGATACGTATCAACCATATACAGGCCGGCGGGCGATCGATGTTGATAGGCAGGTATAGTAGAAAGTTTAAGTATAGAGACGTGTCATAAATGAATGCATGAGAGATGCATCAAGCAGTCTGATGTATGCTATATTTTCTTAACCAGATACTCATCTTAGACATGATTGCATACTAATACACCAAATGATATATGTTTTTTTCTTCTTATAGATTTTTCTTTTAAATTATTTATCCAATTTATAATCCGATTACACCATTGTATTCATTGCAATTAAATCTTTACAATAAGATCTTACATGACTATATTTTGATAAAAAAATATATATGTTGTAAATTACTTTTATTATATATGTAAGTTACTTTTATCATATATATAAATTACTTTTCGATTTGATTAAATTACTTATTATACAATCATAATGTTGTGAGTTGTTTATTTTATTATCTTTTTTTAGTCAATTCCATATTTTGTACTGATTAAATTTAATTTTTAGATTGACTCACGTTTTTACCTCCATAATGGAACTACTTTTAATGTCATGACAAAGTTACTTCCTTTTTGTCTTAAGTTACTTCTATAATATATGTAAATTACTTTTAAGTTTTACTGAAATTACTTTTATATGTCTAAAAAGTAATTTAGATATACTATAAAAGTAATTTGTAATTTTTCATCAAAATATAATCATGTGAGATCTTGTTGTAAAGATTTAATTCTTACAAACACAACCGCGTGTAATCGGATCATAAATCGGATGAATAGTTTAAAAGAAAATTTTATTTAAAACATAGGTGATAGAAATATATTTTATACTTACTTGATGGGGACTAGTACTACAGTTAATATCTAGGTAGGTCTCTCGTTAGCACTAAAACGAGAGGCCTTTTGATTTAGATTTTGCCATACTATAATACGTCCGTCCTATAGTTTTGTGGAGTATAGATTGTTTCTGTATGTAATGTAATTTTCTGAGGGCCAAATTAAGTTAATTAAGGAAGTAAGAAGAAGAAATACCAATAAAGAGCGAGATCGATAATATATAGAAGTCGTTGATTAATTTGAGGGAATTATATATGGATCGGTCGTCGCCCCCAAAACGTACGTGTCCACATGTTGCACGCGACGTGTTACGTGCACGTTCTAAAACGATCAATTAATTAATTGATTATCCGCGCGCGCGCGGGCGGGTTCAACGAAGGATTGTAGATTATTATAATTACTCTGTTTCAAATTCGTTGTTCAATCCTCGGCTCGGCCGTGGCTGCTAGCTGCCTGCCTTTAAATCCTTCCTTCCTTCCTTGGTAGCACTTCTGCCCTCTACAGCTGCATCTGCTAATTAAGTTGCTAAGCCAGGTGCAGGTCCAGGTGGTGCCGTGGTGGTAGTAGCAGTAGTAGCCAGGGCAGGAATATCTATCGATCGATGAGCAGCAGCAGCGGCGGCGATGGGGGTGGGTACAATTACTCGGAGGATTGGGTGGTGAATTCGCGAGGGATGCGGCTCTTCACCTGCGCGTGGATTCCCAAGGAGAGCAGTAGAGGCGTGGTTTGCCTGTGCCATGGGTACGCGGTGGAGTGCAGCGTGACGATGCGCGGCACGGCGGAGCGGCTGGCCAGGGCGGGCTACGCCGTCCACGGCATCGACTACGAGGGCCACGGCCACTCCGACGGCCTCCAGGGCTACGTCCCCGACCTCGACGCCCTCGTCCGCGACTGCGACTCCTTCTTCTCCACCGCCACCGCCTCCTTCCCCCGCCGCAGATTCCTCCTCGGCGAGTCCATGGGCGGCGCCGTCGCCCTTCTTCTCCACCGCTTGCGCCCCGACTTCTGGACCGGCGCCATTCTCGTCGCCCCCATGTGCAAGGTCCGTTCAACTCCATCTTAACCTTTGACTCTGACTTTTCCTTTTTCTTTTTGCCCGCCACATGCATGCCATCCACGAATCATTCAGTCTACATATGCGTCCCCAAGATTAGATTAGATATTTAGATTATACTACATAACAGAACAGGCTGTCTCTTTCTCATTTTCTAAGCTACCTACCGGCCGGCCACTTTCAGATTATTATCTTCTTTTAACGCAACGCAAGGAAACGTTTCTGACTGCCTCAAATATCATGGATGCATGTGGTTGAATACTAGTAAAATGCGTGGTTGCAGATCGCGGAGGAGATGCGGCCGCACCCGATGGTGGTGAGCGTGCTGAAGGTGATGACAAGCATCATACCGACGTGGCGGGTGGTGCCGACGAATGACGTGATCGACCTGGCATACAGGATGCAGGGGAAGCGAGACGAGATCCGAGGGAACCCACTGTGCTACAAGGGCAGGCCCCGCCTCAAGACCGCCTACGAGCTGCTCCGCGTCAGCATCCTCATCGAGTCCACCATCCTCCCCCACGTCTCCCTCCCCTTCCTCATCCTCCACGGCGCCGCCGACCGGGTCACCGACCCCTCCGTCAGCGACCTCCTCTACCGCTCCGCCTCCACCACCGACAAGACCTTCCACCTCTACACCGGCATGTGGCACGCCCTCACCTCCGGCGAACTCCCTCACAACATCGATGCCGTCTTCCGCGACATCATCGACTGGCTCCACCACAGGACATCCCCCACCTCCGCTTCACATGTGCAGGACCACGACTTAAGTACGTCTTTCGAGGCGGAGCGCAAGGCCAAGCACGACGACACCATCCATTGCGGCAAGCAAACATCATAGTGATCACCTACCTACTATATAATATGGCTAGCTAGCTGCTATACTTACTAGCATGTATGTCTTTACTATACTACATATATCCTTTTAAAAAAATATATAATGCTATTGACTTTTAGACTTAGTCTTGTTTGATCATTGTCCCACATGTCGGTCAAATTGAGCCAAAGTTTCTTGATTAAGGTTTTGCCTAGCTACACTCTATATGCCTTGTCATACTTACAATAAAGTAAGCCACTAACCAGCTAGACCTTAAGCTAGTTAAGGTCCTAAATTTTAAAATGGAAAAATTACGAATTACCCCCTGAACTATCGCGGTCGACCGAATTATCCACCTAAACCCGAAAACAAGACATTACTCACCCCGAACTTTCAATACAGGACGAATTACCCACCTCGACCCAATCCGGAGCGGTTTTGTCCTACTTGGCGTACGCGTGGCAATCCAGTCAGCATTTTATTTATTAAAGAAAATGTGGGTCCCATCTGTCATACTCCTCTCCCCTCTTCCTCTCTCTCTCCTCTCTCTTCTCTCTCTCACGGGGCAGTGCGCATGGGCGGGGAGGTGGGCGGCGGCGCGAGGACGGGCGGCGGTGGGCTGGAGCAGGCGCCGCGTCGGCACCTGTGGCCGGTGGTGGAGGGCTTTGCCAGGCGGCGGCTGCATGCCGCAGAGGCCAAGTTGGGGCAGAACACAGCACTACTACGAAAACCATCTTTCGTGGCGGCCATTTTCGGTTTCCGCTGGCGGAAATCGCAGCCGCCACAAAGCAAAGGCTAGTGAAAATGTCGAGATCTTCGCCAGCAGTTATTTACCGTCAGCCAAAACGCATCTTCGCTGGCGGCCGAGAAAGGAACGCCCGCCAGCAAAGAGAACTCTTTGCTGGCGGTAGCCTTAGGACGGCAGCCAGAGAAGACATGTCTTTGCTGGCGGCGGACTTAACGCAACCGCCAATAAAGAAGTATCTCCGCTTGCGGTAGCCTTAGGTCGGCCACCAGCGAAGATAATTCTTTGCTGGTGGCTCATAGTATTTTAGGCCACGTGGCACGCTAGGAAAAATGAACTAAGGCTTCTGTGGATAGACACGTGGCCCGACAGCGAAGATATGGACCGTCCTAGCCGAAGTTCGACGAACCGGCGCGGGAAACGGAGGCGGGAGCGGCGAACTCTGGGAGATAGCCGGAGTTGTCGGGAGTCGTTGTTGCGAGATGAGGAGGGTGTGCGTGGTGAATGGGTGCTCACCTGGATGCGGCGGAAGCAGACGACGGTGGCACCCCCTACTCAGCTCACGGGGATGGAGATCGGCGCAGCCTACTCAGCCCACCGCTAGCCTCGGCTCCTCGCCCGCCGTCAGCCTCGGCTCCTCGCCCATCGCTTGCAGCCGCCTCCGCCCCCGGTAGCCGCCTCCGCCGCGCCCTCCGCCCGCCAGTTGCCTCTGCCCCTGCCCGCCTTCGTCGCCGCCCGCAGCCCGCCAGCCGCCGGCACCCGCCTCCGCCCCCACCCGCCCCAGCCTGGCTCCTTGCCCACCGCCCGCCAGCTGCTTCCTCTTTTCACATCGAGAGAGAGAGGGAGAGGGGGGCAGAGAAGGAGAGAAAAAATAAAGCGCTGACAGGTGGGCCCCACCGATTTTTATTTGTTTTTGCTGACTGTATCGCCACATGTGTGCCATGTAGGATAAAAACTGCTTCGAATCGAGTTAGGGTGGTAATTCGTCCAGTTTTAAGAGTTTGGGGTGTCAAATGTCCGTTATTGTAGTTTAGGGGGTAAATCGTACTACCGCAATAGTTCCGGGGAGGGGGGTAATTCGTACTTTTTCCTTTTAAAATTAACACCCTTTTTCCATACTAGGTGGAAAAACTAACAGGCTGGCCTAACACTATATGGGTTCTTTTTGTACTGCTAATGAAATGGGTTGTGTTGTGCTAGCCCATGACCCGTGGTCGGAGCCTAGGCATGGCCTAGTAAGAAGACGGGTTGTGTCGTGCTAGCATGGGTCTATTTTAGGCACATGGGCCAGAAGGGATCATTAGTCCATTAACCTTATATATGGCTCAAACAGTTCAAAAAAGAAAAGAATAAGAAAAAAGTGCTCGCACAGACAGTCGGAGATGACTAGGGTTAAGGACTAGGGTTAAGGTCTGGTTAGGATATGCTCTGCTTCCTCCTGCATATGTCGTCGTTGCCACCTGCGTGCTTAACAGTCTCCTACATACTCTGTGGCCTCTTCCTCCTCGTTAGTGACCACACCGCCTCTCCCTCCTTGTTAATGACTATGTTGGCCTCCGCGCTCATCGCCAATAAGCTCCTCGTGCTCTATTCCTACACCAATGGCTGATGCTACATCGCCATCTCTTATCTTTGCTCGGTCATCAGTGCTTGAGACCGTTGGTTGATGCCGTGCGGTGCCGACACGTTAGGCGTTGGGATGGTCCATGGACAAACGGATTGGGCAGTGCTCGAACAGTGCTCGTATTTATAACTAATTGTTTTTTAAACAGTTAAGCTGGATTGAAATTAAAAGAGTTCATATGTATATACCTAAGTGATTAGTGCATGATAAATAATGAATAGTCTATAACTCTAAGGCCCTCTTTATTTAGGCTTACAAGCCAACTTATAAGCTGAAAAGTCTAAGCTTAAACAAACAAGCAGCTTATTCGTTTGACTTTTTTTAAGCCATAAGTCACTCTAATACTATTAAGCCAAAAGCTAGGTTAGAGAAGTTTTTTTTTTGCTTATGTGAGGTAGATGTATGACTCCACCATTAAACTTAGGACATTAAATCTCCCGGTTTATAAATCATATATATAAGCCAATAAGCTGACTTAAAAGTCTAAGCCAATAAGGCTAAGTCTAAACAAAGATGGCCTAAACACGCTGCAAATTAAATTGCGATGAGATCAGCAGAGCTAGCCACAATTAACATGTCTATGGGATTTGCACTAAAAGTGTGGAGCTAGCATTTTGTGTGCAAGTTGCACTATGGTAACAAAACTAGCAGCTGCTCGTATATATGTGTGTGGGTGTGTGTAAAATTCATGGAATCGATGCTCGATCGATCGATAAATAGCTTTAACCAACTTTTGTTCTAGGTATGCCGGCCAACATGCGTGCAAAAACAAGTATATGTAGTGTAGATGATGCAGTGGAAGAAATTAGGTACCAACGAATTGGGCATTCACAAAGCATGCCCTGCCCCTTCCACGCACTTGAAGGGCCAAAGTAAGCTGCCTATACGTACGTACGTGCGATCGATCGATGCTGTCCATGCCGTTCCGGCTGCAGCTAGGGCCATCCGTCACCGATCGACCGTAACGTACGTACTACTTGCAGGGGTACTACACCACGCACTACTGCTGCACGTACGGCTAGCTAGGATATATAGTGGAACATTCAGTAGATGATATTGCTCGGTCACTTTTCTCACCGTGAGATTGTGGTCACTATATATACCACAGAGCACGCCGAGGGATCGGGGAGAGATGACGACTGACTCTGTGAGCTAGGGGACTGAGATGATACTTGAGTATTTTTTTATTGACCCTTAAAAATGCTGTAATTAATTAAGCAGGTCTAGCGCTAGCTCTTTAATTAACCTTGCAAGATTTGATAATTAATGCATGGTGGAGTACGACTGTGTGAGATGCATATATACCATTTCAACCTTTCATGCCCTCCTGCGGCCGTGCATTGATCCTCAGGAGTCAGAGATGCATGGTCTCTTACAATGTTCCAGTGGTCTTCTTGTTTGGATTATACTGTATTGATCGGCGATCTTTTCGCCGCATCGCAGTTGCGCACTACACTATAGAAGTACCATATATGTATCGTGCATGACCTGCTGCTAGCATCCACACGTGCGTTTCTTTTCTTTTCTTTCCGGCCGTGCGCGTCCAGGTGGAAGGCACTGCACGGTTAATTTCCTTGTAATTCATACACTACACAAAATAAAGTATACGGAGATGACCGATCGACATCAATATGGATGCATGCATACATGTCATAGAGGATCGATGAGCTCAGCTAGCTAGCTCCAAAAGCAGTGGAGTGGCAAGAGTGGCCACTAATTATGGTTGAAAGAAACAAACTCCTACTTTACTCTTGTTAATTTATTTATATACGCTGCGGGCTGATTTCCATTTTACAATTTATAAATTGATTTGGAGCACAGATCGATACGTGCAGAGACCTAGCAGTAACAGGTCGATCAATAAGATGGCATGCATGCAGTTGCAGCTGACGCGCACCGATCCTATATATATACGTACGATGCAAACGATGCATTGCATTGCATGCATGGGCCAATAAGTAACTAATAAGCCAGACAAGCCAAGCGACTAATATATAGTTAGAATCAGAAAGAATGCCACCGTCGTCGGCGGCCACCACCGGCGGCGCCGTCCATAAACCAATTATCATGCCGCCCGAGTCGGAGAGGCAGATCAATAATCTTCCAGACGTACTGCAGCCCCGCCGGCGGTGGCGGTCCTCGCTCGCCACGGGCTTCCGCTCGGCCCTGGCCTGCACCATCGTCGGCGTGGCCTCCATCTACGCTCCGCTCGTCATCCGCCGCCACCTCACCTTCCCGGCCTTCTCTTACGTAGTCACCGTCATCGTAGTCACCGACGCCACGCTGGGCAGCTCCCTGCGCGGCGCCCTCAGCGCGGTCCACGCCACGGCCATGGGCGCAGTTCCATCGGTGCTGCCACTCTGGCTGGCGCACCGCACCGGCGCCGGGGAGTCGGTGCTGGCGACGACGGCGGTGGTGGCGCTGAGCACGTTCGCGGTGGCGGTGGCGGGGTCGGCGGGGACGGTGGCGAAGCGGATCGCGCTGGGGCAGATCATCATCATATACGTGGCGAGGTTCAGGGAGGAGAGAATGCGGTCGGAGGCGGTGCTGCTGCATCCGGCAAACGTGGTGGCGTGCACGGCGCTCGGGGTGGTGGCGGCGCTGCTGGGCGTGCTGCTCCCCTGCCCGAGGCTGGCCACGCGCGACGCCACGGACAAGAGGCTCGCCTACTTGGAGGTGGCGGCGGAGAGGGTCAGGCTGCTGGCCGACGCCTTCCAGTTGCACTTCTCCAGCGACGAGGCTGCAGGTGATGATGAGGAGAGAGCATCATCTTGTCGTTGCCGCAGACGGCGGCGGCAGTGCGTGGCCGCGTGCATCATGTCGCAGGCCGACCGCGCAGCCTCCGCCGGCGCCCTCCTCCTCCGCCGCATAAGCTCCGCACAAGTATGTATACTATATGCGTTCAGCAAATCAGTATACTCCAGATAGTAGATGCATGCATGCAGATGGCCCGATCGAAGAAGAGTCGTCGGAATCTAGTAGTGCTAATTAGTTACATATGAGATATGATGATCGAGTGATACTATATGAGGAGATCTTACCCCATGGCCCTTGCCGAAAAGAGATGCGAGTCACACTAGCTAGTTAGTGCAGTGAGTGACCCCACGAGCTGCAAGCCACCAACTAGGACGTACTAGAAATCTAGAATGAATTGAATCCACTAGAAGCCAAGGAATCCGGCGCAGTCAGAAAGCAAGCGTCAGCAACCGCACTAGCTAGGATACCGATACCCAGCTAGTAGGATTAATTACAAGTTAATTATACTAAAATTAATTAGTATTAACTAAGTAACTATATGCATATGCGCAGGGTGACTTGCAGTGGGAGCGAATGCCGGCGCTGCTGAAACGGTGGTGCAGCAGCAGGTGGGATGACGACGACGAACAAGCTTGTGCGCGGCTGCACGAGTTGATCGAGATGCCTCTGCGAGGGATGGAGATGGCCTGCACCCACATGCTGCAGCAGCCATGTTGGCCTAACACTAACACTATCAGCAGCATCTGCACGACACCAACATGGCTGCAGCACGCTACCGACCATGTACGCCTGGCTTTGCTCACAAAACGCATTCCCAGCTGCAGCAACACAGGCACAGGCAGCATGGAGATGGCCAAACTAGCGCCGGTCTCTGTTGGTGCTCTGGAGCAGCAGCAGCAGCTGGCTCCTTTCCTCTTCTTCTTATGCTTGGATCTCCTCCTCCAAGGATCTCATCCGGCGCCCCAACGTCCACCTAAGCTGCTGCTGTCTGTGTCTGCACACTCAGACGCTGCTGCCTCCCAAGTGAAGGTGATCCCAGCAGCAACAACAAAAGACGACGATGAAGAGCAACCGGAGCAGACGAGGAAGAAGAAACACCAGTGCCCTCGGCAAACGACAAGAAGCACCATGAGGAGGAGGCTGGTGGCCGCGGCCAAGTGCAGCTTCTCGCTGGGCCTCGCCGTCCTGCTCGGCCTGCTCTTCAGCAGCGACCACGGCTTCTGGTCGGGGCTCGTCGTGGCCACCACCATGGCCACCGGCCGCGAGTGGACCTGGGCTCTCGCCATTGCGCGTGCTCACGGCACCGCTCTCGGATCCGTATATGGCGCGCTGGCCTGCCTTGTCATCGATCGCATGGAGCTGCGCTTCCTCGCCCTGCTCCCCTGGCTCATCCTCACTGCCGGCTTCCTCAAGCGCAGTCGTGCCTACGGCCCCGCTGGCGCTGGGGGTGTAGCAGCTGCGGTGTCTGGCATCATCATCGTTGGCCGCCGCTACGACGAGCCGCCCATGGCCTTCACCGTCGCACGCCTGGTGGAGACCTTCATAGGCCTCGCCTGCATCATCGTGGCCGACCTCGTCTTCCAGCCCGCCGCCAGGCCGTCCACCAAGGCCACGGCACAGCTCGACCGCTGCCTCGCCGCACTCAAAGGCTGCTTCAGTCGGGGACGACAGACGACGACCAAAGTGAAGGTGAAGGCGGTGCAGGAGCAGGTGGCCCTGCTGGAGAGATGCGTGGCAGAGGCTGCCGGCGAGCCCCATTTCCCGTGGTCGCCGCCGTTCCCGGCGAGCTGCTACCACAAGGTGGCGGGGAGCCTTGGCAGGATGGCGCAGCTGCTCTACCTCTACACACAGGCACATCCAACTCCAATACCAGCAGCAGACGAGGATGCAACGCAGCGCTTCCACTGCCTCGTCTCCGCATCCCTGGAGCGAAGCGCCGACCTCCTCCTCCGACTCAGTCGTATCAGCAGCAGCAGCAGCAGAGACGAGGAGGACCTGGAGGCCGGCATCCGGGTCAGCAGCGGCAGTGACACCTGTTGCTGTGACGACGAGGATGCACCAGAGATGCTGGTGCGGTCGTTCCTGTCACAGCAGCAGCAGCAGCAAGATCAAGGAGTAGCATTAGCATTGGCTTCCATTGGGTTCTGCATGGGAGAGATGGCCAAGGAGGCCCTCCAGCTGGAGGCCTACATGCTCGACCTCATACTCCTCGCTCATTAGCATCTACTCTACTGTACCTCTCTATTCTGTTTGTCTACAACAGCACATAATCAATTCAATCCTCTTGCCAGGCTGCCAAGCTGCATGCTTGCTTTGCTTGTGTGTCCATCAACCCACAGTCCCACACTAGCTAAAAGTTCAACACTAGCTATAAAAGTTCAAAGTTGTGCTCCCTCCGTGTTACATATTATGAGCTAGCTTCTACCTACCAGGTTAAGCTTAGCCATTCCCTGCTCAAAATTATGACACCATCTAAACAAAGTATACATATGTTGGTCTGCATCTATCCCTACAAAATACTAACAAGGAGACCAAGGAAGGCCTACTAGTTTGTCCCCCTGTCTCTACCTAATGCAATCAAGGCAAGGCAACAAAGCATGAGGGTCATCTAGCTCATTTGCATTCCTTCCGCATGGTACTTGTCCAAGTCAGCATCCAGGTCTTCAGCAGAAATCTTCCGACTTCCACGGTCTCCCCTCCCTCGCCCACGACCCACATGACCCCGACCACGCCCACCAAATCCACCCCTGCCCCGAGGCCATCCTCTTCCACCCCTGCCAGGTCCACTGAAAATTTCAGCACTGGACATGTTTTACTCAGAATCTTCCTGACAAACTAGGCTTAAAAAAACACAGTGCAAATTCTGTTGATTCATAATATCATATAACAAAACAATTTTAAATGGTTCCCTGGAAAAGTAAACAGTTTAAAATGGTATTTGGATATACTCAAGTTCAGTCTCACTCCACATTTGATAGAAACTGTAATAGGGCCAGGGCATACTATCTGCAGGTAACATTGAGGCAAGAAACAAGGTTTCCAGGTGATTCTTAATAAATACAAGGGATACATGTCTCAGGTGATCCTATCCTGCTTGGACTTTTAAGGCAGTCTAGTGGCACTGTATCCAAGGTTCGAAATATCCCCTAGTTTCGGTAAAATTTGGTTATCTTGAATTCAAGACTACCTAAGAAGAAGACCTGGCTAGTTACTTCAGGATTTATAGGTAGTTTGAGTAATTTAACAAACAAACCATATTGCAAGATCTAACGCAGATTGGTGGTATCATGCTGAATGCGAGCTCACAAGTTTGAGTCCCAGGAGAATCTACTTCGTCTAAAATTTTCTATATTTCCATCAGATCTTGGCATAAACTCAAATTTTGTCTCAAAAGTACGGCAAGATTTTCCAAGAAGAACCGCTTTTGAAGTTCAGTCTTGTCAGAACCCCATTGTACAAACTTTACTGGTGACCGGGGAAGCTCTGTCTGGCAGACATTATCAGCTGGTACTTATTTGTGCAGGTAATAATCAAACTATGTACTACTACAGACTATGCCTACAAAGCAGAGCAGGTTTATCTTAGGCCCTCATTGGCACAGCTCAGGATCCAAGATTTCTAGAAGTTGGGTATTCCTAGCTTCACAAATTCATGGATCTACGATTACATTGATAACATTTAGTTAAATCATTTTTTTCACATTTTGGATGAATTTTAAAATTTTAAACCACTATAATTTATCATACAAACTTCAAATCTACTGTCTAGAGCTGTGCCAAACAAGGCCTTAGCAGTTAATTTTGAGAGTTAATTGTTTCATGGGGAGAGAAAAACAATGCTGTATATGGAAGCTACTAACCTTTTGGGAGGAAAATCGAAGTATCCAGCTGGTGCAGCGAAACCAAACATAGCAGGTGGTGGTGGCTCAATATTTATACCAATGAGCTCAAGTTTCATAGGTTTGCCATCCAGCTGCACATTGTTGTATCTCTTAACAGCAGCCAGGGCATCAGATTTTCTGGAAAATACAACCTCTGCAGTTCCCTGGCAAAACAGGGTATGAATAATGAGCATTTTAACATAAAAAGAGTGACACATATTAAGTGAAAGAAAAAGGAAAGGTGGGGGTTTGGAACCTTGGATCTTCCACTCTTGTCATAGTTAATAGAGTAACGCTTGACATCGCCAACCTCAGAGAAGAGTTCCTGAGTAAAGTAAGCAGCAAATTGTAGAGCAATTTAGTGAGAATGAGACAATAAATAAATTGTGAAAAAGGTTAATGAGTGCTCTAAATGTCTGGAAAGATACAAAGCTGAGGATTGTAGGTGGGCTTAAGAGTATAATAATGAAGAAAGCTGTGGTTTTCCTTTCCATAAGAAAAGGGTTCAGTTGTGAGTGTGTGTAGGGGTGTACCCTAAATAATAAGCAAAATTGGTTTGGTGAAATGAAAAGATGGGGGAGCTGAGGAATATAAAGATGACAATTCAATAAGAGTAAAGGTAAATGCAGCTATCCAGGTACGGTGAGTTGAGATTATAGTAAATTTTTTTTTTTGGGGGGGGGGGGAAAGAAAAAGAAAAAGGAGGAGCGGGTGGTGGTACCTTGATGTCCTCATTGGAGACGGCGTAGTCGAGGTTGGAGATGTGGAGCTTGGTGCCGGTCTCGACGGGCGTCGGGTGGGTGTAGGCCGTGGGCGGCGCCTAGGCAGAAACCCTAGTGAGTAGATCGTGGTCGTCGGGTCGGGCGACAAATCAAGAAAAAGAAAGAGAAACTATACCTGAAAGGTGATGGCGTGATAGGGAGCGGCAGCAGCGCGGGTGGCGGCGCGGGAGTGGAAGCGGCGGGCAGAGGGCGCTGGATCTGGACGGGAGCGGCGCTTGTACTTGTTGGTGATGAGGTCGTCGAGGGACATGTCCAGCGAGTCCGCCGCCATCTTCTTGGTGTTGCGGCGGCGGCGGCGGAAGGCGGAGTTGCTTTCTCTTCCTTGTTTGGGTTGGGTGCGGACCGGGGAAGACGACACGACATGGGCTGGGCTCTTCTTCCTTTTTGTTTTGGGCTTTATTTTGCTCTTCTTTTCTTCTTCTTCTCGTCCTTTCCTCTTCTTCTGGAGTCTACACGTCTATCCACCGAATTGTTCAATCCAAAGCCAAACCAGCACGCAAGCAACCAGCGAACCCTAGCTACAGAGAGATTCGCATCAAGGAAGAAGACGAGAGAGGCTCATTTGAATTAGAGATAGAGATGAAGCCCAGGCCCTTCAAGGAGGAGTTCACCTTGGGTTAGTTCCTAGCTACTACTCCTCAATTCCTTCCTTTCAGATTTACTATTCATGTTCATGGATAGTATTGACTCAGATCGAATTCTTGTTTACAGAGGAGAGGGCCAAGGAGTCGGCCGCCATGATCGCCTCCTACCCCGACAGGATCCCTGTACTATTTCTTCTCCTATGCTTTGATGCTTCATCACTGCTATCAATTTTCACTGCAAATTCCTCCTGCTTGCTGCTACCCCAACATACAGAAAAACACACACACAACACCCGATTATTCCCTTCACCCGTGCCAGCCGACTGCTATGGCGGCATGTGATTCTTTTGTTGTATGTTTTCTTCTTCACATGCACTTCTATAAACATATCATTGGAGTATGAGACTCATCATTGTGTCACAATAGTGCATCATATAATCATGTGATTGTTCTAGATGTTATTCAAATTCGTTCAAGTTTCTCCTGAGCGGCACAAGAAACTCAGGATAGGAGCTTTACCCGTACCGTACTGATGATGATTGCTCAAAAATCAGACATTGTATATGGTTCTCCTTTGTGTCAGCCAGTAGTTCTTGCCAACACAAGTGCACATTTGCGTGTGGCAGTTTCATGGCAGAGCGTATATGCGATCCATGGTTTTGGGTAATATTATCTAGCTTGTAATAAGAGGATGGAGGTGCTGTTTCATTACATATTCTATTTTTATTCATCTACCAACAAGGCTGTGATCACACACTTTCTATTTTGATACCATTGTACAAAATGAAAAAGGGTAGGTAGGTGGCTTCTATTATTTGCGAGTTGTTGACCTTGGCCATTATATTTCTTAGCTGTTTTATGTTACAGTGAATCAGGATTCAGGGTCAAAATCATATATATGGAACACCATTCTTGCGGTATTCCTAGATATAAATAGTTTAAGTTTCACTGCCAGCCTTTTTTTTCAGCAAAGTTAGCTTCAGTCAACTCTGTTGTGAATTGGTTTGTTAAGTACTAGATGGACCTTATGAATCATTGAATTCCATGGAAATACACTGAAACTGATGAGATGTGAGACTAAATCACCGACTACTTTTCGTTCTGCCCTTAATTGAAGGCCATATTCCTTATTTGGGTTAATTACATCTGTACCATTAAAAATTTGTCGGTTTTAAAATATACCATTACTATTTACGTATTTGTAACGATGCCATTGTTGCTTGTTTGTAATCTCAGTGATGCCACTAAGATACGTATTTTTGCATGTATTAGACAAAAATGCCCTCATCTTCTACTTCTCTCTTCCCTTGTCCTCTCCTCTTTCTCTGCTCATGCTCCTCTTAGACCCAAATCCCGTTGTTGGCGATGCTTCCCTGCTGCTCTCCGATTGGGTCGACCCATCTGCGTTCGCCGCCGGAGCTCGTGACGCTAGACAACACCGTGCAGGTCCACCGGTGCTCTTCACGAAGGCCGTCCTTGCTGCGTCGGGCGTCGAGGTGGTCATCGGTGATGAGGTGGAGGAGGCAGTTGCTGGACTGGAGGAGGCGATGATGGCGCATCGGGCAGCTGCGAGCGTGGTGAGGGAGGTGCAGGAGCTCGCCGGAGAGGAGAAGTGGCCACTCTTCGCCGCTCTTTCCTTGGTCCTTTGCTGCTTTGGCATTGTCGTCGCCACCGCCCAGGGCTCCTCGCTGCGAGGAGAGGCGGACGGATCTAGGACACCATCGTCACCATCTCCATCAAGCGTCGGCCTCCATCTTCCCCATTTCCACCTTGCCAGCAGCAGAGAGGGACTAGGGGAGGGAGGAGCTGCATTGTCGGGGTAGTTGGAGGAAGATGCCGTTGGCGGTGGGGACCGTGGGCCCCATGGCAACGTTGTCGTCAGTGTGGAGCTCCGCGCAGGAGGACACCAGCGGTGGCACGAGGTGGAGGGAGACATGGACATCCCGGCTGAAGGAGCACCGGAGAGGGAGGAGATGGTGGCTGCGGTGGCCATGTCCATTGTTGGTCACGCTTGCCGCTGCCATTGCCGAACTATCGCCTGTCTCTCACGCCATGGAAGAGAGGAGGAAGGAGAAAGGGAAAGAAGGGGAAAAGGGCAGGTTGGTTCAATTTTTTTCATAAATGAATCCAAGGGGTAATTAGTGGTATATCTCAAATATGTGTAAAATTATAATGGCACAGTTCCAAATACGTGAATACTAGTAGTATATTTTGAAATCAACATATTTTTAATGGCATGGATCCAATTAACCCTTATTTAGTTTGTCTATGTGTTGCTTGAATTTTATGCTAACATGCTAGTATCTATGTTGGCAGGTCATTGTTGAGAAATTTTCGAGGAGTAATCTTCCAGAAATGGAGAAGCGCAAGTAAGTAGCCAGTCTCCTGTTCTTAGAAGCTGGTTGAATTTGGAAGCCTAAAAAGCAGTGGTAATTGCAGGTACCTGGTTCCATGTAACATGCCAGTTGGGCAGTTTATTTTCATACTTCGTTCCAGGCTACATTTGTCTCCAGGGACAGCGTTGTTTGTGTTTGTCAACAACACTTTGCCCCAGACTGGTGAGTTTTGCATATGAAGTAGTGTTTTTTGGGTCCCGCTTGATCCTCTGTTGAAGCTTCAGACATACAATTTTGTTGTGGCTGCAGCTCAGCTGATGGGCAGTGTGTATGAGTCATACAAAGATGAGGGCGATGGCTTCCTCTACTTGTGCTACAGCAGCGAGAAGACATTCGGTTGACCAACTCCTCCGTGGAGATCTGCTTTTACCTCGGGCGTCAATAATATATGCATGTATATATATTACTATGATTAGAAATTACAATTATGTGTTTTATATACTGTATATTGATTGATGTGAATGAAGTGTTACAAGGAGGAGAAAAGTTTCATACCGAACTTAATTATCCCACCTAAATTTGTGAGGCAAATTAAGGAGAATATAGATCACTCATTTTCAAAGCAGGATACAGAGAATTTTAGAGTTTAAATTTCCAAAGAGCTTTGTCCGAGCTGGCGATCACTCTTATCAAGTCTTCAAGTGCAACCCAACCATTTTCCTTCACATGTAAGCTT